GGGCCGGGGCTCAGCTGCCGCCTCTCCCCGCAGGCTCTCGCTGTACGATGCCGCTTGTCAGGCCGCCCAGGAGATCGCGGAGAAAATCCAGGAGCGGAACCGGTACCAGAGGAACGGGGAGAGTTCAGCCAAGGTACTGCTGTGCCAGCAGCGCTGGGGTTTCGCTGGGTTTTGCTTCTAACCGCTCCAAATGCTGGCTGGGCATTAAATGGTTGGGGTCCGGTGTGTCCGGGAAGCTGCAGCCCCGAGTTTCCTGCCTGTCCGGCAGCGGGGGGAAGCGGCCGCTGCCCGGGAGGGTGCGTGTGTCCAGTGGCGTGGCCGGAGCCCTGCAGGGACAGGGTGACAGGCCACCGCCTGCGTTTGTCCAGGAGCGGGCTGTCAGGTCCCCAGTGCTGCCCACTGGGCATCTGCAGGCTCAGGGTTCTGGTTAATTACAGGAGCCTAACATGAATGATGTGTTCCTTAAGATTTCTGTAAAGAAAACAAGAATACAATTCCTAAATTACCAGTAGCTTTTCTGTGTTACAAATATAATATTGCATTTAAGAGTGATAAATCTTTTGTGCATGTGGTAATGCTGGTTTTACAAAAAGAGGAAAGAAGAAGCCGTGGGAGGGTTGGGCACACAGTGCTGAGTGCTCAGGGCTGTCACGGCAGGAACAGAACAGTTTTCAGAGCTCCTGAATCTAAGAGATGTTGGGATGTGTGTCACCTTCGGTGTACTCCTTTCGGTATAAATGTTGAATAGATATTTTTTCCCCGTTACGCCGGCTTGCTTTCTTTCTGTAGTGGCTGTAGATCAGATGAAATATGAATTTTGCAGCCTTTTAAAGATACATTTTTAACAAAATATAGGGCCAGAGTTAAATATGAATGAGAAGCAGAAGTTGGAGCTTACCCAGGACTATTACGTTCTCTACCTTTTCACACTTCCTGTTTAAAAAATAAAGTAAAAAAAGAGGTTCTCGGGAGGCTGCTTTCTTTAGGACTAAAAGCCTCGTTCTTTCCTTCAAGAAGCGTAGGAGCCTGCTTGATCGCACACCCTCGGGATCGTGCCATTAGCTTCTCCCTTGACTGCATTACGATTCAAATGCCTGCAAGCCCTTGAGTTTGTCTCTTATAACAATTTGCATAATTAAAAACCTGCTGATTTATTCTGTAGACTCTGCCCCTCTTTCTAGCAGGGTTGTAATATGATGTGCGATCCCTGAATCGTCTCTGGCAGCCTCTTTCCTGATAGCTTTTAAAATAAATGTCATTTTGGCAATGTTTCCTTTGAAGAAATGTTGAAAAAAACTGTGTAGGTTTGTACAAGAATCAGGACTTTTTGATGAATGACTCAAATTTGGCATGAATTGAAATGAGGTTTTGGAAGGCCCAAATAAATGTAATTTAAGAAAAATAGCTCTAGGATTTTTCTAGCTGTAGGATTGAGAGGAGGGTTTAGAGGTGGGGATTAAACTCCCTGCTTTCAAAATTATGAAGTATTACAAATTGTAGAGGAATATACTCAAGCAATAGAAGAGTAATAAAAAGATTGCTGCTTAATCCATCTGTGTTTATAGAGGACAAAGATCTCTACTGGCATCGTTGCAATCTGTGACGTGTTCCAGAAAACCCCAACAAAACGTCGTGTTAGTGTTGTTTGAAGCTTTTCTTGTACCGTAACTCTCCGGGGTTGTGTTTTGTGGAAACATTACACGGTTGACTTATTTCTTCATAAAATCATTTGTTCCATGCCCCATGTTTTCCGAGCACAGTTTCCCTTTTATCCATTAACAGCTAAAGATGAATATTTGGCAGTGTTTGATTCTACTATAAACAAGTTTCCAACAATGAGAGAGTTGTTTTCATAACAGAAATGCATGTTGAGAAATCCACGGCTGAGCAGTCATATATTCTATGACTCCTGAATGTTTTAATGAAGAAAAAGTCTTTATACGATATTTGCCTGGTAGGGAGAATGTAAACAAGTTTTTATTGTTATAGTATTTAGCCATTAGCATGGCTAAAAAAAAATGATTGCTTATTGCTGAGCAAAAAATAGATCATAAAATTTAAAATGGAAAAAAAGCCCATTGATTTCAAACCAGCACTTACCATCTGTGAACTCTGCTCTGCTGAGCTGATCTTAAAACTTCCGTGGGTTTCTTTTTTCGTTAATGAAAGTGAAATCTTTTGTTGTAGCAATCTATATATATATATCTCTACACACTATATATATATATATATACACATACACACTGCAATTTCTGGCGAGAGTAGCAGAGGGAGTCGGTGTGTGAGATGACTTTCCTGAGCAGAGGGAGTCGGTGTGTGAGATGACTTTCCTGGACCTGTGTACCTTGATGTTACTTTGCTGCTCTGGGCCAGTGAAACGCGGTGTTCTCCACCAGGTCGTGAGTGCAGGAGTGTGCACGTGAAATGAAAAGACCTTTTATGACCTGACTGCAGAGCTCGAGGCTGTGCAGCGGGCTGAACTTTCCTAAGAGCGTGTATATACTCCAGTCTGGCTCTGGAAGTGTTGCTGAGTGTTCGGCGGCTTTGGGTCTGCTGTGGGTTTTGCAGCTCTCTGCTTTGGCTGCACGCTCTCCAGGCTGCCTCAGCCTGGTTACATCTGCTTTTGGTCCTTGTGTTTGGTGGTGTTTGAGAACAAGTCTCACCGAGTCAGAGCGATGTAAACTGCTGATGCTGTCGGGTGGTTTTGGGGAACTCCTGCTCCCCCCCGTGCAGATACCGAGTGCAGTTTAGCTCCAGGCAGGATCTGGCAGCACAGCAACTGGTCAGTGAGGCTTTGGTGCCTGGCTGCTGCCTCTGTTTTCAGGAATGGGAGTCAAAGGCAATGCTCCTTGTCTGTTAATGGTTCATCACACAGAGCATCTGGGGCTGCTGACCATTATATCCCGCAGCGGGGCTGAGATCTTGTAAACAAGAAGCACATAAAGTCTTAATTAGGATGACTTGCATGGTTAATTGCAGCTACAATACTTTTTCCTAGTGTGTTCTACATAACTAGAATGAAAAGAAATAACATTTAAGGAGGAAAAACCCAGAGGATAATATTAGCCTGGCTTGGGAAGGGGTGGGGAGAGAGGAGGAGGATTCCCGCAGACCTCGGGCTTGCTTGCAGCAGGGAAGAATGTGAACGACTTCATTATGTTTTTAGTAAGACCAGATGTGTCTGAATCTCGGGCAGGTCAGTTGTGAGACAGTGGGGAGTCATAGGTGCTGCAGAGAAGGGAAATGGAGAAAATCTGAATTTCTTTGGGGTCTTCAGTTTAAATTCTGGAGGAGTTGAGTGGAGGTTGTGTCTGAACCTGTAGCAACCTTCCCTCTGATCCTGGGAGCTGGGAAAGAAACCTGGTGGCAGAAGCAGATGGTGCATGTATTTGTTTTAAAGATCAGAGGAAAGAACTGGAAAACTTACTGGAAAATATTAAAAAGTGCTGAAATATTTTGCCCATATAAAGGAGTGTTTTTATAAAGACATGAAAGAGAGCTCTCCGTATTAAACAGCATTAATGCATTAGAATTGTCTTTGCGAAACCAGTACTATTTATCTCATTATTTGGTGAGCAGTCCAAACCAGTTAACTGTCTTGGTCCCTTTGTGGCTCTGAGGCAAGCTTTCTTGGTTTAGAACAGAGTCCTTCACACCAGTAGAGGTGAAGTTAAATGTATTGTCGTCTGCATGTAGTAGTATTAAATTTTATGCAAATATAACTCAGGAAAACCCAATCTTTTTCTTCCCCTTCAGCTCAATGTGATTATCAGGTCGTTGCTGCAGAATTTCAGAGAGAAGATCGATCAGCTGAAGGACTTACTGCTTCGGGCTGTATCAACACACCAAATGTATCTGTGTAAACATCAACTCGCTGACCTTTCTGTATGTGGGAGAGAGTGGAAAAATATCCTGTAATTGCTCTGCCACGCAGTTAGGGTTTTCCCCTCGTTCAGTTTTTAGGAGGCTTTGTCCGTGCTGCTGTTCGATCTTTTCATTGCAGCTGTAGTGTGGGAAGAGTCGGGAGCCTGGCATCTCTGCTACGCTGGGCATGAGGCTGGCTTTCGTTACGCTTCTGTCCGAGAGAAGCTGAACAAGACGGTGTGAAGAATCTCGGCGGTGCCATTGTCTTGCCCGTGCACCATGCCAACGCTGCTGATGGCGGGGCTGGTTTGTGAGCTAAGGTCACTCGTCTGGCAGAACACTCACTGATCTGTGATCTTCTCCCGGCTCAGTCGCTGGCTGCAGGAGTGCTGGCGCCTGCAGAAAGGAGAGATGAAGCATTGTTCAGGGTGTGGGCAGGGATGGGGCAGTGCTGCACCTTCAGAATGATGTCAAAACACTTTAAAATACACCTTAGAAAGAAATAACAGGCTTGCTTCTAGGGCCCGGGGGCCTGGCTTGGGTTTGCTGCTCTTCCCGTGTGCTGGGACAGTCAGGCTTGAGGAGTCAAAGAAGTACATCCCTCTCCCTGAAGATATCCAGCAGCAATCCGATCGAATGAATGAATGTTTAATTTCAAGCTTACTGTAGCAGAAATCCCTTCCAAGCACGGGCCCCCGAGTGCTGTGCTGATGGTCAGGGTGAAACTTTCCTGTCCAGCAAAGGCTTGAGAGCAGACAAACGCTACTGCTGTGGCAGAAAACATCCACAAATCAGTTCAGCCATTGCATAAGCTACTCAAAAGCACTTGGAGGAGAGTTAATAGTCCTTCAAAATGTCACTGAGATTAATTTAAAAAAGCAAATGCACGTCCCCTGTCAAAGCTGCAGCACTTCAGAGCATCTTGTCTCTCAGAGATACTGTGTGAATTGTTTTTCTGCTGCATCAGTGGCTATCGGGGTGTTCTGCTGATGAATTGCAAATGGAGACAGATGCTCAAAGTACATTTTTGATTGTTTGCTGATGACTTGTCTGGGACCTACTCACCTGGTCTGTGTTAGGAGCCTCTGGTGACTTAAGATGTGAAATACCCTGCTGATTTTAAAAGCTCTGTTCTGTTTGGGTCTGCCTCATTTCTATCCTAATAGTGGAAGCTGGAGCTCTGTTAAGAAGACTCATCCTTCCCTGCACTTCACCTGTGCACTACCGTTATAGGTTGTCAATGTTATAGAAGAGATCGACTGTGTTGGACTTCTTACTAATAAATGAAAGAAGTATTGTGTTGGATTTCGGAGGGGGAAATACTATTCTTAATACTAATGCTAATTTGGCAGGAGTAGCCCTCCAGTTCTCTTATTACTTTGGGATGATGACCTGAAGGTCACTCTGTGGTCACTGTATGAAACTTTTTCTTTGAGATATGTATACTTCAGAAACATGTTTAGAATAACAGCAGATTTCATTTAGAAAAATGTGACCTATCCTTCTCTTAGATGTTACAGGCTTTTATTGAGTTAGTTACTCTAGTTACTTTGGATGATTAGGAGGTTTAATTTATCTTAAGAATGTATAACAGGTATTATTTTATACAATGACATTAAAGTTTTTCAGTCTTTTTAAGTCTGATCCTTAACCGAGCATCATCAGCACGCAGCTGGAGGGAGACAGGAGGCAGAATTTGGTGGACGACCTTCTCACGCGACAGAAGCAGCTTCAGGCGTCTTACAAGAATGAAGGCACAGAACCAGACGTGATAAGGTATGGCATTGTCAGCTCAGCTGAACCGTGTGATGTGTGCTGTATGGCTGAAGAGAATGTTAAATGTATCTGTTGAGCTCTTTTACCTCTGCATGTAGCAAGCTGCAGTTTCATTTGCGTAGAAACCGTGTGATTTTTAGTGACAGTATCAGATGTCTGCACAGCTGGGGAGGACGAGGGGATGGGGAGCTGCTTGGAAGAAGTAGTGGCTGACTAGTGATCTAGTAGAGTCGGCCACCAAGTGGGACTGAGGGGTGCCACCATACAAGGTCTACGTGAATTGTTGGAAAGAGAACTGTCAGGATGGGGCTTAAGCTTCACACAGTCCCCAGTGATGACATTGTGTGGCAGTCAGTGGGGGCCTTCAAAGTGGACACATTTGAATTTCCATTTTGGTGTGGCCTTCACAGCTGGGAAAAATAATTGTGGTTAATAGCCTTCAAGTTGTGCTCTCCTTATACAGTTCTCAGGCGCTTTCTTGCAGGAGTTATTTGTCACCTCTAACAGGTTCCTAGGATGAATCCATCCCTGAAGATCTCTGATCAGGAAGAAAGGTAGAGCCTTTGCTTGCAGTATGACCTTCAGCCCTCTTGCCTGAGTTAATAAATTATTAGCAGTGCATAGGTTGGGTTTGGTGGGAGTCACATAGGTGCTGTGTGCGTAACATACAGACCCTGTTAGGCATACACGTGGTATATAATTATATCAGAAGACATCTTTTTCTGCAGATGTTGCAGTCCTGCAAACTCAGTGTGCAGTGGAATAAGGAAGGATGGGTTATTTCTAGTGCTTTGTTAATGGCCTCTTGCATTTTATCCGTTTCCAGTTAGGTCAGCACCAGCTTTTGCTTGTGGAATTCCACTCATGATTGTTTGCTCCCCTTGGCTGTACTTCAGAGTTTTTGGTAGCTTCAGTTTCTGCAGGAGCATGCCTGTGTCTTGCTGAGGAGCTCCTTGCAGCTGTTTCACATCCAGGAGCTTTTGCATCTTGCTGAGATACCAAGTTAAAAATGCTTGTGGAGCAGCAGAATGGAGAGATTCCTGTGAATTTGTTACACTTACCTTTCCTTTCCCAAATCAAATACCATAATCCAGCCTCCCTTTTCTCCTTATTCCTCCTCTTTCTCCCTGTGTTTTCAGCGACATCCCCACTGGTCAAGAGAGACTGTGTTCTCTTGGTTCAGCCTGGAGCTCTGCATGTGCTGCAGAGGGTCTAAAGGTTCTGCTGATGAGGCTCCATCTCTTCTGCCTCTTCATCTGTGTGTAAAAGTTGATTTTTCCTTGAGCCTCCTTTTTCTTTCAGTGTGTTTAAACTGCCCAATGAATTTTTTGCTGGAGAAGAAAGGGCAGAAAAGGGCTAGCAATAAATAAGCCTTGTTCATAAGCTGGTAGCCAGACTACAGATGCGAAGATGAAGGTGCCATTTCCTCCTTCCTCTGCAAGGACATGAGTAGTAGTAGATCTGCCACCTTGGCACGGGGCTGGGGCTGTGGTACGTCAGAATTGGAGTGGTGCATGATGAGGGACAACTTCAGAAGCACCCTCGTGATTCACTGGGTGATACGCTTTCATCTCTGTTAGCCCTGAGGCAACATTCATGCAAAAAATGAACAGCCCCGCTGTCAAAGAGTCTGGCTTTCCGGTCTCCTGACCCCATGCAGGTCACTAAATAACTGTTTTGTGTGAGAGTTATAATTTTGTCTGAATTCCAGTGCGGATAATTGCATTTGCTCATCCTAACTTTGCCTTTGCAGATTCAGGTAATCTGTCCTACCATTACTGTTTAAAATAAGATTATTTTTTGTCTTGGTGCAGGTATAAGAGGTATTCAACCTTTAACTGAGTTTCCTGTATTCATGTGCGTGTTCGTGTTTTGGGAGGGTCTGTTCAGTGACAATGGTGTAGGGGTTGGTTTCTGCTTCCTTTTTTTCTCCAGTGTGGTGTTTGCTGCTGCCAAAGCACGTTTCACTTAACAGTTTGTTGTCTGCATGACTAGCCATTGTCAATGCAACACCTGCTGAAGATGGTAAAACTGTCGACTTTGATCCAACCCATTAATTGTTGCAGGTTTGGCGTTGTCCAGAGCTCAGTGCAAATCCAGTTGTTGCATTGGTGCTGGCTTTTACATCTGCGCTGAGTCAACCGAAACGTGTGAAATAGCAAATAAACAACATATCTGCAGGGACTGATGATGTGGGAAAGCTCTTGTGTGTCACCTGCTCTGGGCAGTCCATAAACTGATCAGACCTTCCGAAGTGTGGCCATCCCAGCTGCGGCAGGGCAGCGGTGGCACGTTACCGCTGTGGAGCAGGCAGAGGGCAAGGATTCAACTTAGAGCTGCCCTGGTATGAAGGTATTGAGGCGGGTGGGAGGAAAATATCAAAATCCCATGATAATTTCAAGCTCCGTTAGAGATGATCAGGGAAACCAGTATTTTCCAGCACAAGATAACATCAGAGACGGTATTTATTTGCTAGTGTTGCAAGGCTTGAAGTTTTATAGTTCTCTTTTAACTTCTTTAATTAAAAATGGATAAAACTATGCCAACTGTTCCCTGCCTGGTGAATTCACACCCTTTCCATATTCTCCCTTGTAGGTCTAGTTTTCAGTGGTGCGGGCAGAGATGTAGCCAGCTCAGTCCCATGCCAGTAAGTCTCTCCTGCCTGAGCCTGGCCCGCACGCAGGGCGGTAGGGAAGGAATCTGTCTCCCATGCCTGCCATGCTGCTTGTAGGGACAGAAGACAGCAGCTTCTGGTAGGGTTAAGCTGCTGTTTACGGCACTGGGTTTCTCTAAAATTGTTGCAGACTTCTGGAACAGCTTGCTGTGGATTTCAGTAGGTGGCAAAGGCCGCTCCTCGGTGTCTGAAGTCTGAAAGTCAGCTTTTCCCACTGCATTAGAAAAATCAGCGCATGTAGTTTGATTAAGTTCTAGCAGTGACACTTTTCTCTGATTTTGTGTTGGTTTTCCGTATCTAATCCATCTCTGATGTGACAGCACACATTTTCAGAAGTCTTTTTCTTTCCAGCAGTCATTCCTTTCATTAACCTTCTTGCACCACTGATCACATATTTATTGTCCCCATGGCCTATAACTGTGAAGGTTTTACTAGAATTAATCTTCGTTTATATTTGGTCACCATTCAGTGAGTTTTACATCCTTTGAAAACCGCTGTAAAGCTATTTCTGATTGTGAAGTACAGTGGCCTTAATGCTCTTAGTATTTATCCTAACTGACAACTTGGGCCAGAACACAGGGCAGGACACTACATTACTTGGGTATAGCATGAGTTCACCTTCCGGCAGTGTCGGCCTTAATTAAAATGCAACTGGAATTTTCCAGGGGAAAGGTTGTGCTGTTTATGTGACTGTGCTTGAGCAGGGTCAGTTAGATTTTCCTTAATTGCTTTTCAATAGGCGATTTCAGCATCTTCTCCCCTCTTTTCTCCTTGGAAAGAGATCTGTACAGGTTATTAGAAGAGAGGCTTTAATGGGGCAGAAATCCCCATGGTTTCACACCGTTTGAAAGGCAGAAGTGGAAAAAGCAACCAGAGCATTTGTGGAGGCAAAGGAATCAAGAATATTCTTCCTGCCTGACCAGGTAGTCGGTATGTACATGTCACTCACCAGTGAATGAATAGATTGTGTGTACTTTAATACACCTTTCTTGGTTTTCCTTTGAATTTCTCAAAAATATAGAAAAGTTTTGATAGCTGTGGGACACAAAACACCTTAAGTAACAGCTACCCTTGATAACTTTTAGAAGAGTCCATATTCTTTTTTTATCTTTTACTGTGGGTTCCCATTTTTTTTCTGCTTAAATACTTTTCTGGCCAATGTGAGGTGTTTAGGTCTTATTCCAAGCAGGCATTTTGCCTAACGCCAAACAGGCATCGAGTGCCTGGCTTTGATCAGTAAGCCGTTGGGTGCTGAAATGCTTTTGTGAATCTGTTTCTGGAGGAGCAAATGTTCTTTGGAAAAAAAGATTAAAAATAGTTGTTTAGGTGCCTTTAAAACTCTTTCCTGCTTTCTTTCCTCCCCACCAGTTCATGTTGGAAGCCCTCCCGGCTGCAGCTCCAGCATTCTGACGTGGGAGGTGATGAGCCGCGTGTCCAGGGAATGGATGGAAAGGGTGAAGAAGAGGTGACTTGTCCATCCAGAAACCCATGCTCTAGAATGTCCCAGACACGAGTCATAACATCAAATCTAGGGGCTGGGGCAGGTTTTTCCAGGATTAATGTGTCTTTGGCCATGTAGTCATGAGCCAGCATGGTCTTAATTGTCTCAACACCCTCCTCATCCACTGGACTGTCTCTGTACTTGGCTCGTCTCCCATGGTACCACTTGCTGGAAGTGCTCTGTAGGTTACAGCGTGTGCAGGCGTGAGCGTGTCCTCACGCAAGCAGCAGGTATGGTGCCTGTTAAAACCCAAGGGTGGTTGTGCCCACCCCAAATTTAAGGAAGATTCCGGTAAGATAGTGAAGTCCCCTGTGTCTGGTCTGTGTCCAAGGGACAGTTTGCATCTCTCTTCCTTCAGAGCATACCAGAGGTTCCTTAAGGACCTTGCTGAAGTCAGGACTGTGGTTATGAGAAAACTCCTTATAAATGCAAGTATGTGCAATAGCAAAGAGTGGATATTTAAACACACCAGAGAAGAGCAAGTCAAACCCCGTAATTTTAGGCATTGTGCTTCAGGTTGTGCCTGCGTGCCTGTTATTGAAGCTTATCGCTCATTAGCCTCAGGAAAAAATGTCCGTAGGAGGGCGGCTTTCAATGCTGAGCTCTGTGCTTTATGTTTTGCCTCCTAAGTTTGCTCAAAACTACCAGAAGTTTCCTGCCCAAGGTTGTTTCTGTACCAGCAGTGACTCTGTGGTGTTCTGGCCTGGGCGTGCTGGGTCTGTAGTGAGAACAAATGCCAGGCTGAGACCTGCTTGGAGGCTCGTGTTCCTCTTGCCTGTGGTCAGGCAAACTTCAGTCGCTGTGCGGAGAGCAAAGGTTCAGCGTGAACCTAGTGCTGCGTCTTGTCCCAAAAGCTGCCCTCTGAACAGCATTGCCTCGAGTGCAGAGATGTGAGCAGGGGGTGATGGACTTGTTGGTTGTTTTGTGAACAGGACTAATAATCTCACAGGGGTAGATTTGTCCCTTTGCCCTTTCTCTGGATGTAATTATACAAGGTGTAGCTTCTTTCTAGAAAAAATTCTCTTTTCTTGTAATTCTCTCATTCCCATGTGTGCAAGCGGGCTGTAGAGGTGAGAACATTTCAATGAGGACTATGTAAGCTGTTTTAGAATGTATTTAGCATTGCGTTATGTCCAATTGTGCACAGAAAGTAAGAGACCATGTAGAAAGAAGATGGCAATATTTCATAGCAAGATTAGTCTCTGATGGAGATGCTTACTGCAGTGTATATTTTGAGGGTTGCGTAGGAAAGCGAGACTGCTGGGAAATAAAATGTGAGTGTAGATGTTACAAAGGTAACACCTACACCTGATCCCTTCCCTGGGGATGCTTACCCTGGTGTAGCAGTATCTCTTCTGTGTGGTTTCTTGCCACAACCCCACCACCCAGACACTCGGCATTTCGAGTGGACATGTTATTCCGAGACAAGTGTGCCTGTATAGCTGTGCAAATGCATTTCCAGCTCATTGCCTGCCTTGTGCTGCTCCTCCCTGGGCACTCGCTGTCCGGGACAAGCACAGGGTGGTTGGGAGCGTGCCGATGTTGTGGGCAGGAATTAGCGATCCTGGAGGTGCTGCGAAGTAGCCGTGTTCTGCAAATGGGCTGTCTGGCATCACAGGTGGCAGCTGGCTTGTGTGGCTTCCAGTCATTGAAGCCGGTGGGACCAGTTAACTGAACCCCAGGTAAATGGTGTCAAGAGCAACACAGCGTTTCCTTGAATGTGATAAATGCTGCTCTTGGTCCTTGTGCTAGTGGAGCTGGGAAGTCCTCTGCCAGCTGCAGGGAGTCCTGCCCCTTCCACAGGTTTCCCGTCGGGAGTGGTACTTGTGGAGAAGTCTCTGCCTGGGAAGGTACCTGGAGGGGATTTGGAAGTGCTTGTGCTCAGTGTGGCTTCTCCTGGGATTTTTGGAGGAGGGGAGCTTTTGTTTTGTATGTTAAAATTATACACGTTTTATTTACTAGCTTGGAGCTTCCTAAAATACAATTAAATTGTAAGTGCGAGAATACCCCCTCTTCTTTGCCATTGCCGTGGAGGTTGAGCGGTGGAGCCGAGCTGGGGTGCCCTGGGCGCTGCACAGAGCCCCACTGTGCCACTGGGTCCTTAAGGGGATGTTCAAGTCATCATGCAACCAATTGTCATATGACCTGGGTTTTGTTTAAAATTCAGCCTCGCTGATCAGTCTTCTAAAGCTGTAAGCCTTGATGTGTGGCCTTGGTCTAAAGTAAGTGCTGGTTGACTAATCTAAGTTACTTGGGAAGTTTTCTGAGAATTATCAGTGAAACAATGCCTTGGGGAAGATAAGCCCTCCCTTGTTAAGCGGTGACATAGCTCCCTGATTTTAAACCCCGTCATCTTTTATACTTGGGCGCATTGCTAAGCCTCGTAATTAGTTAAATCTGCTCCTATAATCAAAAGCTATCCGCACACTCCACTGCTCTGTGACGGTTTCAAAGATTTACGTGATTAACTTGACGGAGGCAGTGGGTGGCTAATTGGATAAGCTTTAATCTTCACACCACCAAAGCGAAACATGGTAAGATCAGAGGAAGGAGGAAGTTATGCTGTGTTGTGTGGGAAGGTAGTTACCAAACATGTCAAAAAGATTATTGTAACAAGCAGACCAGTTGTCATGACCCAACCTACAAGAACAGGGCAGATTATTAGGGGGGAGGGAGAGAGCGAGCAGTGCAAATTATTTCCAATTTGCTTGCCTTGGCTTTTTTTTTAACAGGCAGAAATAGTTGTGCTCTTTTTAGCAAGCAAAGAGCTTTATGTTCTGTTTGCTTAATTGAAGTCATTTTGTCAGATGTTGCTAACCCTAGATTTTGTGTGCTCGCTCGTTGAACTGCTGAACTGGGGGGACTGTAATGATCTTTGTGTCTTCAGAAGTGTGAGGCTTCGGTTGTGTTCAGGTTTGTGAACCTGGCAGCAGTCCTTGTGAGAGCAGAAAATATGAGAGCATTTCATCTCCCAAAGCAATGAAGAAAGCCAGGTGATGTGCAAAACTGTATTTCAGGGTGTGCATCCTTCTCTAATCAAGCCTGATTCCCTAGATCGATAAACACATGGAAGTGTTAATGGAGATACAAAGGACTGGAATGCAGAGCAATCCCAGCTCTTGGGTTTCAGATGTTGCCCCTGGTCGTTGGCACAGCAGGCAGTCTGGGTTCTGCTCTGGGCTGATGCCCCAGCACCATCCGGATGGTTGAGATGTTGTGATTTAAAGTAAATGCTTTTTAGTCTTGTAGAAAAAAAAAATAAAAAAAAATTGTAATTTATGGATGGCCCAAAACTCACATGGTGAAGATGAATTATTTTTCAGCAGTGTTGATTCATCTCATGGCCAGGAGATGTCTCCAGTTCACCGTAATTCCTCAAGGAGCTCCTAGACAGAAGTTCTGGATTTTGCTTGTACATCCTTGCTGTCAGCCTTCAGTCATCCTCCTGCAGAGCTGAGCCCCACTTCAGCTCCTCCTGGCTCCTCTGGTGCTTGTGCAGTTAACTGCTTTTGATACAGGGATTTGACCACAAAATGATTTTGAGCATATGTGTGCACTGTACAGCATTTCAGTGTATCTCACAGGGAAGGGACCTGGACCCAAGGAAAAAATAAAAAACCACAAAAAACAAACCCGCTTAGGTCTTAGTGTAATTAAAAATTTTTGAGAATTTGTAAGATCCCAAAAATCTCTGTTCTTGTTTTGTTTGTGGAAGTGCTTTGGGAAAGAACAGGGCAAAGGTAAAATGAGAATAAAACATGGAGTTTAAAAAAAGCAAAGCAGAAAGCAAGCACTCTTAGTTTTGTGCTGCTGTTGAGGAACCGATCTTATGATGACTCTTACCCCAAATCTGAGTTGCTGCAGTTTTGGGTTCGAGTGGCTCACAGTCTGTCAGATAGTGTTTTTCTTGTAGGAGAAACCAATGAAAAGCTGAAAGATGGAAACCAACAATCTGGTATTAAGAAAAATATTTAAGTGGCATTTCATTTTACTATTTGAATTTATGTGCCCTGGATGTGAAAAACTTGTTTTCCGTTGTGACCAGGGAAGTGTCTATAACGCGAACAACCTCGGGTCATAATTCTTTTAAAAGAAAGTGCATAGCTTGAGTATTCTCTCATTTAAGAGTGTGAGTGCCTGGCTTCTTATTCGTGTTGATGCCAGACTAGGAAATGCAGGAGAGTAACCGTGTAACTTGCACCTACAGCTTTTGAAATGCAGAAATGCTCCCTTTTAGGTGTGCTCAGGATTGCAGAAAATTCATAGTCTCACCTGATTTGCATCTGTATTAATGCGTTGATCCTTTTACTGGTGGAAGCTTTCGGGCTGTACCTCGGTGCTTTTGTAAGTTTGTGTTTTGATCACATCACAAATACGGGAATAATGTGTGTATTCCCATAACCCTCTTCTTTTGGTAGCAGTTTTGAATTCTGTGTTCTACATGCAATCAGTATTTAATGTGAATATATTGTACAATATATAGCATGCGTTTCACCATGTAGCTTAATTGTTCACTGCAAAATTAATTCTCTCCCTGCTTCACCACTTCTAAGCAGTGTTATATGGAGCCTGAGAGATCTGTTTGTTATTGGAGATCGTCGGGTTCTTTTTGGCTAATTTCTTCTGTGGTTGCAGAGAATGACATGGAGCGCAATAACCATGTATGCTTCCATCGCTGTCAGCCAGGCGTGCAAGCGCAAAGTGTGTGGTGAGTGGGTTTTATGTTGAAAATTATTTACTGAAGTTATTTTCAGGTCTAGCCTAATGACGGGAGGGATCAAACGAGGTGTAACCAACCCGTGGCTCTTGGAAGAATCTGAGGAAACCAGAGGGCTTGGCTTTGACGATCTCAGGCAGCAGCAGCGGAGGATCATAGAAGGTAGAAGAGTCTTTCTGATTTTTATAAACATCTCCAGAACTCTGAGAAGAGCCCTTATTAGAAAGTCAATACAGTAACCTGTGCTGAAGCTTTATTATCTGGAGACATCGAACATAATAGTTCCAGGTGGTTGTATTTGCAGCGGCAGTGTTGTGCTTGCGATATTCTTAACTGGAAGCATCTTCTTAAAATCAAATTTGCAGAGACCTTACAGGGCATCCCTGGTTTTGCCCATACTCCTGCTTTTGGTTTGCAGTGGAGATTTCCTTAATTGCACGGAGTGTGGTGGTATCACTGCTCTGCTTCGGGCTGGGGTGTGTTAGATGTATTGTTGGATTGGAACGAGGTAAAAATTAACTAATCCAAAAAGGGGCTTTAGATTTTGGCCCTCGGCATCCGTAAGGAATCTCTAACTTTGGAAGTGTTGGAAAACCTCAACCTGAGGACATCAGGTGGTTAATGAGGTAATTTCTGTGCAATTAGAGTATTGGAAGTGATCAAATGGAGTTCTTCTCCAGGTAAAGCCCCGCTTCAGTCTGCATGTGGCACAGCACGTGCAGCCACAGCTCAGCAGAGCGGCGTGAACTGTGGTGGGACGGTCCGGGAGAAGCCTCAGGTGCTGGTTTTTGATTACACCCCAGGTACCCCTTGGCTGGAAGAGGTATCGGGGGCCAGCCCTCTGTCCTGCTGCAGGGCAGGGGGTTGTGGCCACGCTGCCAGGGTTTGGCTCCCGGCCTGCAGCCAGCTGGCAGTCTCGCTCCGTGCAGCATCGCGGCTTTGCAGTGTGTCGGAGCGCTGGCAGCCCGGCCTCCAGCAGCTGCTCTTGCTCTGCTTCTTGGCAGCTTTGGGCAAGGGGAGCTGCGTGCTGTGGCGAAGGTGCTTGCTGAGGACTGCGTGGTACCTGCACACTGGAGTAGCAGAGGTGATACGGTTCTTAACGAAGGAGTGGCTGCAGAGCTGGTGGGAGCGCGGCAAACTTTAGCTGCCCCCACTGTGTCCCCTCTGTCTCGGGCTCTCTTCCATGCACTCTGTATCCTCCTGCAGGTTTACAAATCTATTCAAATTCTTTGGTGTTTGCATCACCTGTTTGTCTTTTATTCATGTTAAAAGTTTCTTGGAAAATTTAAAAAGGCTAATCAGGGTTCTCTGTGTGTGTGCCAGAAAATCTCCTGCATTTATGATTGAATAACAGCTGAATGTTGAATTCTTGGATATTTTTTTTTTCTGGGACCCTCAGCTAAGTGTCCCAGCCAGGCCAGACAAATTAATTACTCATCATTCACATTATTTTAAGAGTGCTGTTGCCATAAGGATTCATTTTCATGTTGTGTTAATATATCTTTCTTAATACATTTTTAACTCTTTAAACGCAGAGTAGATATTTTTCTTCACTTCTGCATCTTTTATTTTATGTAGCCTGGCATATCAGCTTTTTTTTTTTTAAGTAATTTTATGTATTTTTCTGGTGCAGAGCAAGATGCTGGACTCGATGCTCTTTCTTCAATCATATCCCGGCAAAAGCAAATGGGGCAGGAAATTGGGAATGAGCTGGATGAACAGAATGGTAAGAACAAGATCCATAGAGACTCCTTTTGCCTCATATTTATGTCAGATTGTAATTTTTGTTTTTCCACTCCTCATACAACTGCACTGCTTTTTGCCCAACAAGGTAAGAAGACAATACTGTAAAGGTTTGTGTGTGAACAACCACTACAGATTCTATCCGATCATGACCTGGTTGTGTTATTGTGCTTCACGACACACCCTGTGGTGCATGTACAATGTATAACGCTTGGTATATTTTTACCAAGCCTACCTTTTGAAAGAAAAGACTGGTGATTATTTGTACAAAGTACAAAATTAATTTTGTACTTGATCTTTTGCATTTTTCAGTTTCATGACAGTTTTTATGAGAAGCTTTTATGTGTTGCTGGGTTTCTCATGCACATTCTTATTCTGTGTCTTTCCTTATTAACTAACTGGAGAAGTCTTGAGCTGGCGATTCAAGGAGATGCGTTGTATTGTTTGCTCGGAATAATTTGGATTTTAAAGGTTTCACGGCATTGAATGTAGGATCAAATTAAGTGCAGTACTGAACTGGAAGAGCACCTATTTTATTTAAAACGAGCCAGTATCCGAGTGGTGGAATGGCTCTCCTGTTAAATATGCTTTGTTACTCACTTAATTGTTCGCATGACATCAACTGTCCCTAGGAGAGCAGATCCTCCGGTCTTTGACTTTTTCATTTCTTACAATATGGTAATAGTTCAATTAGAGCCTTGGAACCCTGCCAGCTTCTCCCTTGCACAAAGACTTGAGCCATATGGTTTACCCTTGGGTTGTCTTGTACTTAACCACTGAGAAGGTAAATGTCCTTTTACTTGCTAATACATGTTACGCTTAAATCAGCTTCTTCCCGGACCTGGATTTTTTTCCCCCTTGTATTTCTCTGCATGTCTGCTGAGGGTGAGAGGTTTCCCCTATTGACAGGCACATAACACGAAGCACTACTTGGGAGCTCCCTTCCACCTGAGAGGGAAGGAAGAGGACGGCTTTCTCATGTTTGCCTTGCGTACATGGCTAAATCCAGGAGGGATATGAAATGCCTAGAATGTGTCTTTGTTTGTTAATCTTGAGATTGTTAAGAAATGGTTTGCACAGCTGGGAGAAACTATGCTTAGTGGTCTTGTCATATTTTGGTCCTCTGCCTCATGTGAATAAAGACATTTTCAATTAGAAATCTTGGTTTCATAAGTTTCTTCTATTAACCATCCTTTAAAAAGTCATATTAATTGCTTTTTTTGCTCTAAATAGAAAACAGGTGGGAAGCTTGAGCGTGTTTACTCATTCTGTGGAAAACCTTGGTTTCTCAGTGGGAAAATATATGATCTGTGTCCCTTTTCCCTCTGTCGGGGGTAGGGGAAGATTCCCCAAATCCTCATGTTTTTGGGACCCTGAAGGTAATGTGTATTGTACCATTGCATTTCTGCATGACCAGGCCAGACTTTTTCTAGCAACGAAGCCTTGAAACATCTGTGAAACTGGGAACACATCTAACCCTCCTTTTTACAAATAATGCCAGTTTTGTTTGACTTGCTTGTCTGACAGATAGTTACAAAACTGGAGCAGAATTTGTAATGTTTTCATGTGAGCTCTTTTTTCAGCTACAGGCAAATCTTTCTCAAAAGATGGAAACTTTCCCGAGTGCTCGGTGGTGAGGATTGCCTGTTCCTGACGGCGGGCCAGATCCTGGGGGAAGAGAAAACACCGAGTTGCCTCTGCTCTTGCTGTCCTAGGATCAGGAGAATAAAACCTGCCAGCCACTGCGTCGTTTATAGATCTTTAAGCAGTTTGAAAAAGGTGGGAAATAGTCTGAATCTTGCAAATGGGGGACCAGATCACTCAATACTTGGCTTTATCACCACCAAGCGAGTGGAACTCCTGTGTTTTCTCTGACTTTATACCATCCCTTTTTTTTTTTTTTTTTTGATACAGGGGGATATGGTCAGGCATTTCATTGCCACTGGCACATTGGGAAAGCTGAAATCCCCAGCAATATTTTCTAGGGGCTACTTTCCCTTGACACATCTTATTTTATGCCCTGTGCTTAACTATCTACAGACTTTTCTCGGGCGCTCTGCCAATCTCGTGTCGCTGTTACACAGTCAGGCTGATGAGGATAACTGCTCTGTAATTTCCCCTCACTTGGAATCTCTTTCCTTCCTGGTGCTGAGTGATAACGGCATCGTCTGTATCGAGGGGAGGCAGGGGAAGTTCATCTTCATTAAGTACTGCATCAATATTTCTTTTTATTCGAGTCAAATTTTCCATCAAATTGCCTGTTTCTGCAGGAAGCTTGACTTCCACTTCCCTGACCTACCTTGGACGTTCCCACCTTCTGCAACTAATTAGGAGCCTTTAGCTTGTTCTGGCGTTACGATAAAGTGTGGCTTAATTTGGAAGTAGCTGATCATGTCTGAGAGTTAATGAAACAGACTTTAGGGAGCTGGGTAACTGCACTTTTTTCCAGACAACCTCTTACTCAGGCCTGCTCTTTTCCTTCCCTGGCAGCTCGGGCTCTCTGTTCTGCTGAGACATTTGCACTTCCCAGCTCTTCGAGGTGGCCGGAGGCGTTTTCCCTTGAGTGCCAGTTGGTGTAGCTGTGCATTTGCAGATGCGCGAGTATTGGAGGCATCCCGATTAATTATGCAAAGTTTACTTCTTGAGTAGTGTTGGTATGCGTAAATTCTTTTGTGTTTGTTAAATGACGGAAAAATGATTAAACTTTGCTTTTCGACGGGTAGTTATTCGGCAGTATCTATTTTTGCTTCACTGGTGGGCTGACAGGCAGTGCTGAGGAGCAGTGTTCGAGGTTTGTAAGAGGGTATCCTGCAAATGGGCCCGGCTGTGGTGGTTGCTGTGCTCTTCGGAAGAGTTGGTCCTTCTCCTCGGGCAGACAGGGTGACCCAGCTTCGCCTAGCTCCACGTCCCTGCAACGCCCGTCTTTCGGCCGATCTCTCCAAGCTCCCGCCATAGTCGGCAGACCCCAGCAGGGATTGCTCAGCCGTTATCCCTCCAGCCTGCCTGACACATCCACCTCGGGGCAGGGCACCATCTACCCCAGAAAAGCCCATTTCCCCCCGATCGTAGAGCGAGCCTGTGCTCGGATGGAGGTGGCTGCTTTGCAGACATCTGCCCTGAGCGGATGAGTCCCATCCTTTAATTTTGTTGTGATGCGTCCAAGTCTTAATTGGAGTCTTGTGTTGTTCTTTACTCAGGTTTTCAGTATGGCTTGGTCCTTGAGGTTTTATGGCTCTGTGCAAAGCTGAAGGTCCTTTTCAAACTCCCGAGCTTAGTATTTTGCACTGATGAGCAAAATAGAAGCTGTGTACCAGGAGATGTTGGTTTTTTCCAGCCTTAGAAGTCTCCTAGCAGTGGGAGAGATGGAGGATTAGCAAAAGAATTTTCCCATCATTAACTCTAAATTTGGCCCCAGAAAACTTTCTGTAATCCTTTCATCTGTTACATAAAAAAAAAATAAAAAAGAAAATAGTGTAAATGGCCTGTGGCCCTGTTGATGAGGCAATCTAATCTAGTGCAATAGTGTTGGAAGAATGCTTTCAGAAATTCTGAATGCTGTTTGTTTTACCCTTATAGAGATGTTGTTTTCTCATTGTGACATGCTTGCGTGAGAATATAGTACTCTGTGATGGATGGTAAATATTGGTAGCTTGCAAAACTCGTTGTGTTTGGCATTTGTACTGTGTCGCTCTCCATTTGGTATACAACGCTGAGGGCGGATTCTTTAGCTTCCAGCTTCTTTAAAATTTATGTCAGAGCATAAATACGTTCCTAAGTGGATAAGCTGCAAAACTGGACTGCTGTTCACATCCTTTTACTGGTCAAGAGAATGCTGTACACAGTCAGAGTGAACATCAAGGATGTCCTTAACCAAAATGGGTCATTTTAAATAAACGATCTGTCATAATGATGCTTCAGTTACGTGGTTATGTAACATTTTAAATTTCTTGTCAAATTTCTAAAACCAACCAAAAAAATGAAGCATTATCTATTTTCTTTTTTTTTTTTTAATAGCTTTGCAAAATAGAAGTTGCTGTGTCAGCTCTGGTCACAGTGGGTGGCACGCGAGCCTTGGAGGTGAACTCAGCTCAGCCCTTGCTTTGGTGCCGGTTCAGTGGCCAGAACCTGTGACCTGGCTGGGGTATGGCTGTTGTTAACCTGACACACTCCAGTCAAAATGCAGTTTAGAGGCTCCACCTGAGGCTGGAGCCCTGCTCTAGCTGTTGCTCTATGTACACACAGAGAAGCTTTCTTGTAAAATCAAAGGCAGTGAGCGAAAGTGTTCTGGGTGATGCAGAGACTTCTTGAAAATAGCGTCAGAAATTACAGTGTAGCAGGGACACGATTCATCTCTCCTAGGGCAGCCCAGTCGGTAAATGTACAGTAAAATGCTTCTTCTAAAGATTATTTTACATGGCTGTTGCATAGCCAAAAAGGAACCCCGAAGTTGTTTTGCATTTCTGTTCGTTAAGAGCGTTTTTGCTGCAGTACAAACTAATTAGTGTTGCGTATGGAATGTGTGTGAGTTACGAGGCTCAAACCAATGGGCTGTGGATATGTTACCTCATTGTTAGGATTAGCTTATAAATACGAAATGATTAAAGATTAGATTTTAAATTCTAAAAAATGTTCATCATCTTGTCTAAACAATGTATGTTTTCATCATATAGGGTTACAGTCCTGCATGCTCTGACCCCCTCTGAGATAGCTGGAGTCCGCTGCCCGCTGGGATTTGGAGGTGTTCAGCGTTCTTTGAGAACGGCTGAGCACCAGCAGGTTCAGGTTTTCTAAAATCCTCTCTGGAGAAGCATATGTTTTTAATGTTCAGATGTAAAGTAACCATCCATAGCATGACTGACCTCATCCTATGCAGATAGATTTTTATTTTGCTTCCCGAGCTTATTGTACAGAATAGAACTTACTCCAGTTTTACTGGGGAAATGGTCTGTCTTTATTGCTTTCTGTTTATGTGGAGTTAACCCT